CACCCGGCAGACGTTGCCCTTCATCTCCCTCCCCCTTTGTCTCTCTCTCCGTATCTGCTCTCCCTCAGACTCGCCGTCTCTTCGTCTCTCTCCGTGTCTCATTTTCTCTTCTTCTCTGCCCGTCTCAGTCTGTCTGACTCTCTGTGTGTGTCTGTCTTAGCCTCTCTTGCCTTTTCATACACATTTAATTGCAGTTTCTGCACTTCTCTGAGCGGGTGGAGTAATGTCGAGAAGCGCCGGACCAGCAAAAATGTAAGAGAATGTTGAAGGTGATCTCTTCCTGTATGTCACGGCGTGAGAAACGTTTCTTTCAGGCCTCTAGCCTCAAAATTTTAGTTTTCAATGCCCTGGCACGCTTTGTTTAGTAGTTATTAAACGATATTGAATAAAAAATCGTACTGAGTGTTGCGGTATGCATTTTACATGAATATTGAGTTTAGTTCTTATTTTTTCGTGTAGTGTTCCGATATTTTAATAGTTATTGTGATATTCTGGACGGAGATTAACCCAACAAATCAGAGAAGAATTGAATAATTAAAATTGACCCAGCCGTTCTTGAGTTATAATTGGTATAACTAACCCGACTTTGTTGTTTTATTTATTTAGATATGATGGAACAGTAAGAAACAATGGGAGAAAGTATGTACTGTTGAAGCCCTACAAAAAAATAGACGAAATAGAAAAAGGAAAGGGAAAGGTAAAGGTTTTAAAAGTGCATTAAAGAAATAAACTTTTAAAACTGTTAAACTTTATCGTTAGTTTAAATAGTAAATTTAAGAGATTCAAAATTTCGTCGGATTATTTTAGGTCCATAATATTTATGGAGAATGTACTTCTGACACATTAGTACGACTCGTTTTAAGGTTTATAGGTCTTAAATACTGATTCAACGTTTGTACATGGGGTTGCACTTGCACTTCGTCGAAAAGACAGGCTGGAATGTATGTACTTAAATATTTTAAAAAAACGTCTCTTTATGGTGACGTGTATTAAGGTGATGGAGGTGTTAGAAGTATCAGTAATAAAATGTAAGTGATTGGTACAAATGATATGTAATGTGATGTTAGGTAAGTGGCGAATGACTAGGGAAAAGAGCTACAGTGTGTTGGTGTAAACCTGACGTAATACTTCTTGTTTTCAATATGGTGTTATAATGATGGCGTAATGATAATGGCAATACAGTGTACTGAGTACTGTATCAATTTCTACCAACAAACGTGCTAAACTAGTGAGAATGCGCGGCATACTGAAGCTTTTGCACATCTTAGTGCTAATGTCCAACAACTATTCATATTCCTAAAAAAAGAGATGCCCTCATTTAAAGATCCAAAATTGAAGGATAAATTACTTTGAGAAATAAATCTGTGGCTTTAATAGTGTAGGTGTCGGACATGTTCGAAAAATATTTGAAGTCCGCAATTTAAAAAAATGGTTTTAATTAAAATTGGAACTATGCCATATTTGTTTATAAATTATTTTTCGAGGTAAAAAATTACAAATAGAACTGTTTTTGGGTGTGTTTTTTCCCTCAGAAAATATTGGTCACAGGAGCTTCATGTAAAGTACCCTAAAAAAATGAAATACTTTAAATGTTCTCCTGAACGGTACAATTAAATCTTGTTTCTGACATGTTTACCACTTTTCAGCTTAAAAACTTCTAATCTGACAGACATTGCGTGAGACATCCATCCAAAAATACATACATACATGCAGGCATGCATGCAGACAATGCAAAGGCAAAAACCCCGATTATCAGATTCACAATTGCATGTTTATCCTCACCACCTGCACTAATCTTAACCATGTTTGGAATATCGGTAATGGGCCTTAATCCTGACGTGTGTGCGAAGGAATAACTGAAAGGAACCGTAAACACGGATTTTAGATCCGAAACCACGAGGTCTTATCGTTAAGGCTAGTCGAACACTATGTATTGTAGGGAGCAGAAAAATACAAGTAGAAGTGAGGTATTAAAAGACCGCGTTCCTCGATGACGTCGGTGCTTTGGACCCTGCCTCCCGCATGTGTGCCTCTGTGCGGGGGGAGGCGTTCCTCGCCGCCTCCGTGTCACCGCCCTCGCGCCTCCACTCCCGCGCCCGTGCCCGTGCCCGTGCCGGCGCGCTAACGGCATCGTAATTATGCGCAGGGTCCCCGGCGGCGGCACGCGACCTCCCCTCGTGCAGCCGTCACGCTGCTTCCGCCGCCCCTCTCGGAGCAATCGCCCCGCGACACTGCCCTCCGCCGCCGCCGCCGCCGCCTTAGTAACCGCCCCCGCTTGTGGCGGTGCCGCCGCTCGAGGCTGACCAGTAGGGCGGTTTTTGCACTCGGTTCGTGTCTGGCCGTTGCCATTCGATTCGTTGTTTCTTGGACGCTGGGGGCGTCTTGACGGCTCCCGGACGAGTTCTGTCGCTGCTGCATGGACTGTGCTGCTGGGATCTTGGGTGTTGAATGCAATAGAAGGGACGTGTTGATTTTTGGTGAAATGTTTGCGTGTTGTGAAGAATAATATACACCAAGAAAAATACTTGTTCGCAGCCGACAGAAGCATTTCTTTCATACGAACATATTCATTTAGACTATTAAATTAACTTATTTATTGTATATTATAGAAAGATTTTTCTTAGTATAGCAGCTGATCAATTGTCGTACTAAAGCACTGCACTCTTCTCACAAAGGTCTCATTTTCAACTTAGGTTTTGAAACCTCTGTATGTATACACAGCTAGCAGTAGAATCTGGGACACCTAAGGATAAGACTGGAAATTTATTAATAAGTTACAGCCGATGTGGTATTAAATCCCTTCTTTGTCGTTGTTGCTGTTGCTAAACTGATGTGTCAATTCCATTTTGCCCTTGCTGATTTGTTTTATCTTCAGTCCAATATTGGTTATCGTGATTGGCGTATGAAGGGCAGATGATGCATCACTTCTGTAGTGATAATTGCACATATTGAGACTCTAGAGATCCGTTCGTTGACGTCGAAAATTGTTCATTCACTACGAATGGAGGACTTTAAAATTTTCGTTTTCTAATTTGAATTGCCAGTGAAGACGTGAATGCTTTGGTACTACAGAGTTATAACAGGTGGTGACTATGAGCTATGCCAATTCTTTTAATTAGTTAATATTTCCCCTGTTTTGCTTCTTGATTTCGAGTATTTAAATAAAGGAATGTGAAACAAACTCTGAGAATCATGTGTACGTTTCAGAGTAATATTCCATTAGTGCTGAAAGTGGGAAATATTACGCTATTCGGCTCTTATATCATTTCAGAAAATTTTCAAAGATGAAAAATAATTGTACGTACGCCTTTTTTTATTTTGTTCTAATTTCGTTGTAATGAATAGATTTAGAATGAGTATCAATGCAAAAGTTTTGTATAACGCAGTAAGACAATACTAATCACACCACTTGAATATTTTTTCTTTACTTTAGCGTAATGAATTTTCATTGACCTGAAAATGCTATACATTAACTATTATCAATATTGTAGAGAACAGAAAAGGGATGTACAATTTTGAAATGCATTCTCGCCTGCTGTTTAGTTTCATTGTTTGGATTTTGTGGAAAATTTGGTGTCACCAGACTTGATGCAACGCATTGTGTACGTGTTCTCAGACTTGGTTGTCGGAACGTAGGGGTTAATTCAATTGGACGGCCGTGCAGATGCCCTCGGCGCAGTCGTGGGGCGTGGGGCACAGGAGCTGGGCTCGGCGTTTCGTAAGGAACGCGGCGCGTGCGTCGTCCGGGGGGATCCATGCGCTCGCAGCCGCGGACCGGTCCACAGCGGTCGCCCGCGGCCGGCGCCGCCGCCGCCGCCGCCGCCGCCGCCGCCGCGCCGGGTCCTTCCTCTCGGAGGAGCGGCGAATTGCAGGCGACATGGCGCCTGCACGCCTCGGCGGCGCCTCCGCCTCCGCCGCCTCCTCCCTCCCGGCGGGCGGGCCGACCGCCGCCTCTTGGCACGCGCGTGCACCCAGCGCCTCCGCACGCCGCGGCTACCGTTCGTTATCCAAGCGCCACGTCTCCCGCGAACTCCACATGCCCCTTGTCGGGCGCTACCTTTGCTCTCGGCGGTCCCTTAGTTGCGGGTCTGCGGCTGCCGCTTGTCGCATCCACCTTTACCACTGCTGCTCTCAACTTCCACTCCCTCCGCTGTCTATTCTAGGAGTACCACGATTACTACTTTTATACATTTGACACTACCGCTGTCATCGTTTCTAACAATTTAATTGATTAACCCTTATCGGATCTCAATTCTTGGTCCTGGTAGAACTGCATTCGCATTGGTATCCCGTCGACCGATTCTCACATGCATATATGGCTGCGCTTCCTGTACGAGAGTCCCGCCCTCTCCTGATTCTTCGAGCACTGCAACAATGCCATTTGACTAACTCCTGGCAGGTTTATTTCATCAATTTGTATTCAGTTTTAAATAAACAATAAATCATCCCAATCCCAATCCAACACCTTAAAAAACGGAGCAGTGATGTCAAGCTCAAAATGCCAAGGATGCCTATTCCTAACAATGAAAAATCTATTGTATCCAAGCCCTTGAAAGGCCACATGGCCGAACAAGAAGAAAATAAATGAAAAAAAAAAAGTTTTAGATCCGGCACGATGGGCCGCCTTTTGATAGTGACGTATTGCGGGCTGTAATGCCACTAGTGATGTCGGGCGTAATATTTTGTCACATGTGGATTCTGGTGGTTTCGTTTTCTCGCAGTTGTGCAAATTCCACTGCCATATCCACCTTCACGATCGGGAACATCTGCGCCGTGGTGTGCTCGAGCGCTCCCGCCTCCATTGCCAGCGCCGCGCCGCAACCGCGACTGCCGCTACGTTCCTTGCCCTCGCCGCCGCCGCCGGCCCCACCCAGCGGCCTCCGGCGTGGTGGTGGCTGTGGCGGTGGCGGGAGCCGCGCAGGCCGCCGCCGCCGCCACCGTCCCCGCCGCCTGCTCCCTCACTCGTGGTTCGGCGCTGCCGCCGCCCGCACCGCTGCTGCCGCACCGCACCACACCGCTCTGCGCTCGAGCCGCACCCGCGCCGCGTGTATCCTTTTCTCTTCGCCAGTGCCATGCGCCGGCGTGACGCGCGGCCCTCGCCTTTACCCTCGACGTGCGTTGCTGCTGCTGCTACGGCGTGCGCGTGCTGCTTCGTGCCCAGTGCTTGAAGTGCGGAAGCCTCTTGCCCGCCGGCTCGATTCGTGCACAGCGGCTTTTGTCTAACGCTCAGCGCTCGTGAGGTTTCGTTGCCCCTTGGAGCGGAGTTCCACTTTTCAGAGCGCGAGCTGCAGGATTTGGCGTCTGATCGTGGCCCGTTCCGGGTCGATATGCTGTGATTAGCCGCGCCATATTAACGAGGCCATTGTAAATAACGATACGGTGTTCGTTATCATCGCGAGAGATTAACTCGTCGGCCGGCTGCTGTCCTCCGTTGCCCCCTGTGTCGGCAAATCTGGTGTGCGACTTCTGTATTAGTGTTGGTGGTAGTGGAGTAATATAGTGCGTGTGTAGTGCGTGGTTCGCTATTGCGTTGTTTGGAGACAATTCTTCTTTATCTTCCGATTTCGAAGCAGGAGAGGCGAGTGATCCGATTAGCATCGTGGAGGCGACTGCCATGAAAATCGTCATGGACGATTTTCAGGATTACGACGACTATTCAGAAGGTAAGCTTAAATAATGTGATTGAATTGTTTGTGCTTAATTCACACATGTATCTGGCATTGTTTTAAAAGACATTGAATGAACAAAGCAGAATGTGTTTCCTGAGAAAGTACTTGTTGCCCCCTATCGTCTATAATGAAAGTGAATATTTCGTTGATGTGTAGCACACCGTTGTCCAAGATGCAACGAACTATGCATATTTCTCTTTTATTGGTACTGACTAGTAGGATATATTGGTATATATTTGAATAGCTCTTGTTTGTGATAATACACCATCTTTATGTATTTGGCAACTGGATTGTCACATTGTTTCGAAATGATAACAAATCTCTTGGTTGATTGAGAAAATAATTTTGTACCAAACACGTGTGTGTTAAGAGACTACATTCTAAGGAATATAAATAATTCAGATTTACTTTTGAAAGGTTTGTCAAATCGTTCTTGTAACCTATACTATTTTTACTAACATAACGAAATGTTATTTTACGAAGCGAATGTTCCTTACGACTCAGATGCCGTGACTCTTTATATCAAATTTGTCTCGTGATTGGGTCAAAAATATGAGAAGCATTAATTTCTAAACAATTTCTTAAACACGTATCTTCTATTATTATAGTACTTACCATATATCCCTCAGCGGTGTAATAGATTGAAATTAGGAGTTCAGTCAATTTTGGTTTTATTAATGTGGTAGGTTAGGAACATATTTCAGAGGATGCTTTTATTTTCAAGTCAACAATTTAAATAAAGTGAATGATTTAAATCTATTTTTATTAGAATTTAGTTCAATCAGGTATTTTCACTTCACCTTCAGAATTTTAATCTTGAGCTTTACATAAACTGGCCGGGGAAAATCGCTGAGCTGGTACACAAATTTTCTTGTGGACGAATTTTATTTATTAGTTCTAGATTTGGTTAGGGATGCTCCGTTGCGTATTTGTCGCCTTTATATCCCTGGATGTTATTGAGGATTGTGTAATTGTTTCGCTTTTTAAATTTGGTTAAAGCAGCCGTATTTTTCCCGATAACTTAATTAAATTCAGGTGTCAATAAGTGAATCACTCACAGTATATATGGAATCAGAAACTTTTTATCATTTATTAAATGTGTGATTTGCACAGCATATAACACTTGAGGTTAATTTATAACAACATTAAAATGTCAAAGGGATTATGTGAACATTGGACCAGCTAACCCATCAGAAATCTTAAAGGATGTAATATTTCTCAAGAAAGAGTTTAGGAAGCCCATAATTAGAGCTTGAGCAACCAACTACTGGGATCATCTGGCTAAGATGGCTCAGATTGCCAGTGCATCGACTTTGACCAGGAGGTCCTAGGGTTCGATTCTTGATGTAAGAGGTTTTTTGATACTTGCTATACACAATACAAATCCACCCTCAGTCTGAAGGTGGCTTCTGGCGGCCGATTGCACGGCTGTTTGACGTAGATTCCACCAATACCAGGGGAATGCCGGATTAGTATTTTGTCAAAAGAGCTACAGACTTCCCGCTATCTCCCTTTCCTCATTTTTGACCCCCTCTTGAATTACACACTCATACACCACCCTCCCACATATGTAGGGAGCGTAGAGCTTGTTTCAGGCTGCGGTGGTACTGGTGGTAATTCCTGGAGGTTTAGGAGGTTCGGCGCGATACCTTACGTTCAAGAGGGAGAGGAATACCGCCTACAACATGTACTGTATTAACAGAACTAATTTACGAAGTAGTTGTCGCACCCGTAAACCCTAAATACTCTAGAGTGTTTTTGAAGGATGTAAAGGAAACTCAGTAAAAATATCAAACTAAAAATTGTAGGAGGAGAGCTCCATTGCCAAGAGCATGTGAAAAGGATATGCATGTTAAAAATGGTAATTGTAGTCTCGGTAATGAACATTTGATTTTTTTTTTCAATTGAAAAATTACTTCCTCAGTGGGTCCTTTCGTTGGTCGACTAATTCGTAGGATTGGCTGGATGTGTTGCTTGAAATAGAGGTTAGTAACTCTGTAGCGGAAATGTGTCATACATTCTGCATATCCAAGAATCCTTACCACTGCATCAGATGCATTAGGGTCGTAGTGCGTTGGCAACTGTCCCAAACGCAGTGTTGCCACTCCATCGACACTAAAATTAGCGACTTAGTGAGAGCTGTCGGGGTGCCAGATGCGTATATTTGCTTGCTATCTTTTGTTGCTCTCTTTGGAGGAAATGTTATTCGGAACATGAGAACTTCGAAAAAGGGGAAAGCTTACGAGATTTTCCCATGAATATTTCTAAGGGTTGTTACGCAGGGAATGCCACATGGAAAAAAATCCATATCATCTGACTAATTATCTAATGTGTGTTATCGGAAGTTGTGAAGATATATGATTATTCCGGAAAATGACTGAATTACTTGCTGTTTGATTTTATTTACTTTGAATTTTTGTTAAATATACAAAACACGGTTTATAGCTGTACCATAATATTACGACATGATTTTATATTTGACAAACTGGTAACACTCTGTAGCTCTTTGGTAATCAATTGTAGGTCATTTCTGTGAATGAATCCGTGTGCCGTAATGATAAAGTATATTTTGTAACACTGTGTGTTTAATTTCGTGGATGTGGTTGTCATTGCTCGGTTGTCAGAAATGTTCCATAACTTGTTCACTCATACTGTGCTGAGCGAAGCACCTCCACACCTGCACAAATATGCACCATTTGTAGTGCCTCAGTGCGCTGTTAACTCTGTTCGAATTTACGTGCTACGCTCAACGTACACGTATGTTTATGATCACCGGCTGTGTGTGGGCTGAAACACCAAATGAATCTTGGCAAAGATTTTGCTAGAGGAGGAAACGTGTCTATCAGACAACTTTTGTGCTCAGAGTGCGGTCGTCCAAAAACACAATAATATAGTTTTGTTTTCTTTCTTTTCTGTTGTGTGTGTAGAGAAATAGTTAAGACGTGCTGTATGCTTTCGTATTTGTACACCCGAGGTATAAAGCAAGCAGTTTAAGTGGCCACAGTCCTATCCGAATTATATAAATGACGAAGCTGTAGTTACAAAGTATAAAAGGTGTGTAATGAACGCTGGTGCAGGTACGAGTACTTCAGGAGGTATGGAGCGGAAAGGTCGCGGTAACAAACAGCGAGTCTTAAATGTACGCACCTAATCACGCAGGTACAGCGGTGGGTGTGTTACGGTATTTTTGTTCCATCTCGTCTGTTACTAGTCCTTGACCGCGCGGATGACTATGCGATGTGAATCGGAGTGAGGTCGTGGTTGCAGTTGACGTCACCGCGCGTGCGAACCGTGCACTTCGCACGCGTGCCCTACTCTTCTCCGCGGAGCCTCTCTCCCCTCCCCTCCCCCTCACGCCTTCCTGTGAGCGCGTACAGCAGGCATCGCTCCAAGTGACGGGTAAACAGTCGTGGGCGGGTGCGTTCGCCAGCGGTTGCCACATTAATTTCTGCCAATGGGAGGCCCCGGGTTTCTTCTCTCGTCTCGATCCCGACCGGGACGCAACCTCTCTCGTCTCTGGGCCTCTTGCCGTGCCGTCGTCAGATATCTCTGTTAAGTGGAGTCAGCAATTGGTGTAATTGCGTGACCCTTCTGCAAATGACAGGTTTTGCTACAAGTGCGGCCTTGTGAAACCTTTGATCTGGTGTAGGTTTTGGGCTGGGATGAGTGTCGTTGGTGGCACAGGTTTGGCTAAAGTGACAGATGGAATATCGCGGCCGAGGGTTTTGAAACATTATTCGTTGGGGACGGAGATGGCCTCATTTCGCTCAGATCTCTACTACTTGAGGGGGTGGGTGGGGAGGTGTTGAATTTTGAAGTTATTCACAATTTTGTTTGTATTTTTTCTTGACTTCTCAGCTTCTAAGAATCTCACTGTAGTTGTCGGGATCCAGTGTTACTACATTCGCCGTAGCACATCCAGGGGGAGGGGGGCGGCTAATGAAGCTTTCACTGCCGCCCCAACGATATACATTCAAAAATTCAGCTGTTACTTTTCATTCAGTACATCAGTGGTTAACGTTCTAAATATAAACAGTACGTCAACCTTATTCAGCATTAAAGACTTCTTTGTAAAGAAACATTAAATCCACTGGACCCTACACCTTATCCTCGCCCTCATCCGAAAAACCCTGCGTGCTCCTCTGTACATTTGTCACAAGTCTCCCAAAAGTAGTTTTGATTTGTCTCATTCTGTACCGTTAAATGACTGGGGGAAGTCATGGTATCCCTTTGAAATTCCCCGGTCACACGTTTGTGTTTAATCATTGATTTGTGACAATTACTGTATGTTACATTCCCATGCAGTGGAATGCAAATCTAAATACTTGAGATGGACGAATTCCGAATTTCCGTTTCATATGTAATGGAGTTGAGTGATGGCGGAGTTAGGAGCAGAACATTGTTGAACTTCTGTAATTCGTTATTTTGAGATTGCCACGATCATCGTGAAATAAACATCTGTTGCAGTGTACATTATTTTGTCTTCTTGATATTCACAAGCGTGTCGGAATTGAACGCTCAAATTAACAATCAGTGGAAGTAACTCACGATCATTTTCATTATACATTTACATTCCATACATTAGGGAATCAGTGTGAAATTAATATTTTTTGAAGAAATAATTCGTAAAGAAATTTAATTTAAAATTAGAATTTGGATGTTCTCTGATATGTTTTGCTCTAAATAGTCGTTCCACCGTTGTTTTCATGTTTAAAATAAACATTTCTATTGTATAAAAAATGTGTGAATGCATCCTTTGTCACTGGTGAATGGTACATCGTAACACATCGATTTCGACGTTCAAATAAAAAAAAATGACAAAAAGGTTTAATGAGGAAATTGCACAATACGGTACTAATTGCTCTTTTCATTTCAGTTTTAGAACGGTTTAAACTGCGATAATTATAATTTTGTATATTGTTTATTGAAGGGGGTCTTATATTTGAATATTGCCGACATCACGGAGATTATAAATTAGGGAAACTGCTAGAATG